GGAAGACCAAAAAAGAGACAGATAAATGGTGTAGCTAAAACCTGAAGGAAAAAAAAACAGAAACAAGATAAATCGCTCAAGCTACCCGAGCGCAAAATACAGAAAACCACCACAATCGGTCGCACCCTGGTTTTAGTGAGACGACAAAAGAAGAAGCAAAAACAAGATTCCTGTTACTTCTTATACACGTCTGTTTCTTATACTATTACAGATGACGAAATTGTTTGCTGTTTTATCCCAGACAACAATGATGTTTGCTGTCGTGTTTCAGACGAGTTTTTACTAACGTGTTCCAGACAACAATACTGTTTACTTATTATCAAACAATGATTCTGTTTACTATAAAACCTCAGACAAAGAGTCTGTTTAATGTCATGTTTGTGATAATGTAATTATTTACTGTCTTGTCCCAGTCAATCTACTTGTTTAGTCTACTGTCGTAGAAGAGTGTATATTTATTATACTGTCTGGAACATCGAATATATCTCGCGTCTATTTACTGAAGTGTCCCAGACGAGTCTGTTTACTAAAGTGTCCCAGACAACTAGACTTTACTGAAGTGTCCCAGGCAACTAGTCTGTTTACTGAGGTGTCCCAGACAACTTGTCTGTATACTGAAGTGTCCAAGACTACGGGTTTGTTTACTGAAGTGTCCCAGACAACGAGTCTGTTTACTAAAGTGTCCCAGGCTACAGGTCTGTTTACTGAAGTGTCCCAAACAACTAGTCGGTTTACTGATGTGCCCCATACAACAAGTCTCTTTACTCTCAACTTAATTCTTGCAAATATTATTCTACTTCAGTGTGCGTAGTCGGTACTGCGGTATTGGTATTCTTTGAAACAAAAGGCTTGTTGCAAAACATCCAAAGCTTTTACGTGCAATATTTAATTGTAAATATTCCTTCCTGCGGACATTGAAAGATAGAAAGTCGACCATCGATTACATTGTTTCAACTTGTAAAGACAGATTTTTAATTTGTCTTTATTATAAATTCTATCACGTAATCATCTTCATCTAACGCAGCTTGATGTACAAAACAAACCTCTAGAATGAAGTGTTTTCCTTCCGACCTAGTTTGAACAAATATGCCAAGATTTCCATAAAGCCAGTAATGCTTCATTAAATTCCAGCGGGTACAAATGTGCACTTCTTTTACGAATTTGCTCATTTAAACCCAGAGCAGTATAAAACTACATCTGATACATTTCTTTGCTTAGGTCCACTGCCTGCTGATAGTTAGAGAAGGTTAGTTGCTTATTCATTACAGCAAGTTGCAAACCAGTTCCAACATTTGTTGGTTTTTGTGTGGTCTTACTAGACAATTTTACGTCGAATAGTGTGCCATCAATACCCGAGACAAAAGGCTGTGAACAGACATGATTATTAACGTCCTACGGTACTGGCTGTAATAATGAGAAGTTTGCCATTGCTGTACTGAAAAGTTCCATACTTATATCGTTGTAGAAATAATCGAAAAGTGATTTGCTGGACTGTTGACAGACATTATATAATTGCACGACAGCGATATCGAGCAGCTGATATCTCTTTGTGCAAATCTGTTTAACCAAATTTTTTCCCCTTCATTTTTTCGTTTTGTTAGGCCTGCGTACAAAAATGCTTTCTGCGCCTTGTCGGGAAACTAAACACGCATTTATTCTTTTTTTATTAATAGAATTGTTCATTTTTCTGAGGACAGAATCGGCAGTTTTTCACAGAACACAGCTCTGCGATGCTCAGATGATAATTAATAACAAATGTATGAAGGAGGTCAGTGAAAACGAGGATGTATAATCAAATGCTGCGTGCGCTGTGGAGTTGACAGTGGCTGTATCGGCGCCAGTGTGGAATCTACTACAAGCAGATGTTTCCTTCACGGTCAGTGCAGTAGTGTGACCACTTGCAGCCAGATCGAGGTTGACTTTGTCTACTTTCAAAAGGACCCTCTGCCTCTACAATGTATTAACGGCAAGTGGAATGACTCCACGGGCGTATGTGACTGCGTTTTGGACTATGCAGGACCCTTATGTAACAGACTGCATTACAACTGCTCAGAATTTTCCCGAAATTGGCCACAGCTTTTTGGAGATTTCTTGATTCAAATTCAGCCTCAGCCATTTAACAAAAACGTAACCGCTGTCTGTAGGAAGACAAACAACAGTTTATCCACACTTGTATTTCGCAATACCGGTAACTATAACTTTAACAACAGCAATTTCGATTACAATAGGGGATTCGATTCGTCGGGTCCCTTGGATAAAATCAGTTTCTGGACTGGCTTCGCAGCAATTAAATGCCTTATGGGATCGACACCTCGGAATTTTAGTATCAATATCGTCTTTAAAAACGCATCCATTACTAAAATTGAGAACAAATATACTGGCGTTTTGATAGGCGCACCTGGCTTGTATCAACTAAGTTATGTCAGCTATGTGTCCACCTCAAACTCCACAGAAAGCCACTGTCTAGAACTCAGCAACATGACCAAATTTTCCACTTACATTTCCGACAACTCTGGAAATTCCAGTATCAACTATGCCGCAGCAGCCGGTGCTGGTTGGTGGTTTCCAGCTTCCCCTTTCACTTGTAATCCGCTAGGCTCCTTCTACGACACAGAACCGCCCCCGCTATCAAACGATGGCTACGTCAAATTTCCTGGAGTTGACAAAAGTCTGATCGTGGAAAATCTGGGGCAAACAGAAATGCTCATTGAAGAAAATTATGTTTGAACTGTCTATTTTACTGAGCATTAACTGCGTTAGCTGCGAATGTTTCACAAATTACATGATGTTGCAGAACCAGCTACAGTAATTTATGGTTGTTTATGATTTTAGTAGGCGCCTGTGGCTTAGCCGTTGCAAACGCGCTCCGTAATGCCAGGGTTCCGGGTTCGATCCCAGCTGGGGTTCTTCGGACTTTGCGTTGGTTTCGACAGTGGTATCGAGAAGCAGACTGTCAGGAAGCAATGGCAAACTACTTGACGTAAATTTGCCTTGAAAAACCACAACAGCACACACACACACATACACACACACAAAATCCCAGGGTTGGTTCTGCAAACTCCTGTAAAGGATACGCAACTAATTTGTTATGATTTTAACAGAACTTTTAACGTCCAGTAGTTTACCATTGCCACTAAACGGTCGGCAACCCAGTCCCTTGTCGAAATCAACGCTACTCGGTCTGCTGCCAAACCATCTGCAGCTGGAAGTATTTGGGAATTATGAAGCACGTTGGCAACACCAAAGACACCGACCATTGGGTTAAAAGGCCTTTAAATTTTCTCAACATTTTCCAGTCCAAATTAGCCTATTTATCGCTTTAAAAAAATGATATATACATTTCAATAACTAGCAAACTTATTCCAAACAATATTTTCCCGTAATGAATTTAAACAATGCGGATACAAACAATACATTGTACAATTCCCTCCTTTGTAAGCAGACGGAATTTATCGTAAATTGGAAGTCACCCTGGTAAGTCACGTGACTACGGTGCGCTTCCGGCGGCCATGAAACATACACAATGTATTGGAAGAAACTATTCGCGTTGAATTTATTCAGTTTTGTGCTTTATTTTATGTTAATGTTACTCTGTAGTAACGCCCCTGGTGAGATATAGCAAACTTATGTTGCTGCAACTTTATATTTATTCGTTCAGGAATATTTGTGCGGGAGCTCTGTGTAATTTAAAACAAACAAATGGAGATATGCTTAATATCAGATTGCCAGTATGTCATTATTTCCAGAATACGCCCCAGTATATTGCTTAAGTTTACGTTTGTGACTTAGGAGTTTTATAATTTCGACATACCATTGTTCTAAGTAACCGGCTGACAATAGCCTGTCTGCTGAGGCGTATTTAGAGCCTTAAGCTGCAAGAGCCAATATATATATATATATATATATATATATATATATATATATATATATAATGCAATGATATAAAACCGAACGAAAAGTATATTAGCGAGCTTCACAATATAACAAACAAAAACAAAACGTGAACGTTGCAGCTATGGAGCCTTCTTCAGCACATACATAGATTAGACAATACTACACAAATACACAATATCACTTATCTTCGTATCTCGTGGCAGCCAGGTCGATGTCAAGACAATAGTCTGGCCAGGCACGTGGGGCAGGGAAAATAAATATCCGGGGATATGCCAGGGGCCATCACTCGAGGATAAGAGGAAACTATGTAGGCAGATCAGCCTCCTAGGATTAGATGAAGCTGTGTTGGCAGTTTAGTCCACCAGGTGCCTGAGTCCCCTCCCACCTCCCAACCCTACCCCACCCACCCCAAAATACCTGTTTTACCTTTTTTGTTAATATGTTTTATTTCCACCCCATTTCCCCAAAAAATTATCTAATGTGACGACTAATACAAGATGTAATAAATAAAATGTTATCTTCATTCGGTGTTTTTCCCCCCCTGTCTCAACCCTCTGCCGGTACGTAGAATAGTTCTCTAATTTTTCTAGTCTGCAGCCGTTAATTAAAAAAAAAAAAATAGTTAGAAGAAGGCTGAAGTATAGTATATGCAACCAGCTTTACCTTTTTAAGGAACGGAGAAATCAGTCATCATCATATGCCATGCTGATAAACCTTAATGGCCGTGGTCCGCCAGCTCACACAATCGCCAGAATCACGGAAAAATCAAGTATGCATATTTTATTGAACTTGATGCATTGATCTGATTTCCCTTCATTGTCTTTGCCAAGTGTGTTTGCTGAACCGCACCTAATTTGCTTAACTCATTCCGCTCCGTGACGAGATGACGCTAATTCAAGTTTCATTTCTATTGGTCTATTTATGAAGACGTCACCAGAAGTTTCCTCATAAGAACAACAAATTTGCGGATCCTCATGTATAGAGACAGTTTCATTTTTAGGAATTGGCTTTCTGAAAATTAGTTTTGAGAATATTGTGTGTTTTCAAGAGAAACTTTCCAAGATATAATAAGTACAGTTATTGTTTTACCGTGAGTAAATAACACTATGGGGTATAAATCATCCCGAACTGTTATCTCAGTGTTGCAGTTACTGATATTTTTTACTCTAACTGAAGCCACCACGACGTTTTATCGAGCCACTCTATGCGATGTCAAAACTAGATTGGCTAACAAATGCATGACATCTGTCAATAAACCAGAAAGAATAGTCAATTGCTGTGTCCGCTGCAGCTCCGATAGCAGTTGTCTTGGAGCTAGTGTGCAGCTAAACACGAGTAGTTGCTACATCCACACCCAGTGCAGTGGTACAACTGACTGTTCCAAAGGAGACCCGGGGTTTAAATACTACTCGAAAAGACCAGACAAGCTACCGTGTGTGTACGGAACCTGGAATGAAGCAACATGGAGCTGTAAGTGTTCTTACCCGAGGGTTGGGAAACTGTGCGATCGCTTGCCTACAAACTGCACAGAATTCGGCCAGTACTGGCCGACAACCTATGGTGACTCGATGATTGCCCTAAACCCCTCGCCAATTAATAGAAATGTCATTACTGTCTGTTCCCGAACGAAAGACAGTTTATCGACGATTGTTCTGCGAAATGTAGGAGAGCAGAACTTCAACAGGACATTGTCCGACTACGTTCAAGGTTTTCTTACAAATCCTCCGCCATATAATTTAAGTTTCTGGGTAGGAATGGATGCCATGCCCTCTTTGTTAGGACCAACACCAAGGAACATGAGAATCAGCATTTTCTTCAACAGTGCAACCCCTAAAAGGTACGATTATAGGTATTCGGGCGTTGTTTTAGGCGACAGCAGTACAAACTACATGTTAACATATGAAAGCTACACAGCGTTGTCAGGAGCACCTAACGGGAACTGTCTGGAGCTGAGCAACATGACCTCCTTCTCCACTTGGGACTCCGACAATGACAAAGACAGCACAGAGAATTGGGCTTCAAGAGCTGGCGCCGGCTGGTGGTTCCCGTCCTCCAACTTCACATGCAATCCTCTTGGAGCGTTCTACAACAAATCAACTCCCCCAACAGACGATGGCTACCTTCGATTCCCCGGCATCAGCACCGATCTGATTAGGAACAATCTTGTTAGGATTGAACTGCATATTGAAGATCCATACGCTTGATTTTCAGATGTTCCCCAGGATTCATCTCGATTAGAATGCTTACATAAGAAGGATTTTCTTATCAACATGAAGGTATCAGATAAAAATCTCAAGTCTGATAGAAACTACAATAACCATGTCGTTGTCTTGAAACATTTCAATAATGATGTTAAGGATGTCAAGAGTGTTAAACAGTGAGATCAATGTGCAGACGAACTGGTCACGTTATAGTGGCAGTTTAAAGATGGCCACTCACTTTTGACATGCACTAAAGAAGGGCAGCATTCTGTTATTCGTTTTTATTTTTTTTTTTTTTTAAATCATTGAAGGGGTAAAACTTATAGAAATTTATCGGCGAATGAAAGTCCTGTTTGGAGATACGTGTCTGTCACTCTAGCAAATGTATGAATGGGGTAGGAAGTTTCAAAACTGAGCGATTATTGTGACGGACTGTTCACTACACAGTGTGTCTGACTCGTGATGTCACGTGCTTAATACTCTTGACACCTTGAACAACAATACTGACATATTACAAGACAAAGGCATGCGTATTGTCAATTCTTTCACACTTTTAAGGTTTTCATCTGAAGCCCCCGCTAGAATGCATCAACAGATTGGCCTATTCCGACACAAATATCGGGCACGTAGTTAAGTGTTAGTTGCGTTTTTATTTCTGCAAACCAAGGCTATTATTTATTGATTTTTGTTTGGTTTTACTATTTAATCTCAGAAGTTTGCCATTGATTTCCAAAGAATATGACGTTCTACCCTTGGTCCAAATCAGTACACAGCTGCTGATATCAAATCGACTACAACTAATTTCGAACCGCCTGTGTAGGAACGGTGAAGCTGTGTTTACAACGGTTAAGTTACTCATGTCTTGCAGGTACACGATGATGATGATGATACCAACTGCATAAATATCTTAAAGAAATTATTAAATAATGTATAAAATACCAAAAATAGACTCGACGTGTCGTTGAACACTTATACCCAAATTATAAATAGTAGTAATCTAAATAACAATATCCTGATCAATCCATCTGGGTTTTAACTGTGATTTTTTAAATTTTAATAATGGATTTTTATGCCTATCAATTATTTTTTATTATTCAATATCGCATAGTGTTTGTGTTAGTTACATACGATTGTAGGAGGATAGAATGGCTAAATTTAATATATTTTAAGTGTACTTTTCAACCAGTTATAGCAATTAAATTGTGCAGTCTATCTTTACGGATATTTAAAGTGATCTGGGGTGCCATTATTGCGTCTTCAGACACATTACCACCTGATATGCCAGCTCTGCCCAAAGACAACTTATCACAGACATCAGAAGGAGACAGTCATCATTTTTCGGCCATGTTATGAGAAGAGGGGAAATAGAACATGTTGTGACCACTGGAAAGATCTGGGGAAAAAGGGATAGAGGAAGATAACGAGAGAAGATGCTTGACAGTCTTGTTGCATGGCATGGAGGTGTGTCGGCACCCGAACTGATACATGCTGCAGGAGATCGTGGATTTTGGAGAGGCATGATCGCCCACGCCAGTCGGCAAGGCAACTGATGATGATGATGAGGATGATGCCAGCTCTGCCTTTGTGATGGTTAAAGCGTGTTTGATTCTTTCCTGTAATTCTTTAGGAAGTAGTAAGTGGGGGTTGGAAAGGGGGGGGGGGGGGGAGAAAGGGCTCCAAAAAAACGAAAAAATTGCATCCCACCTAGGAACGACTCTGTAGAGCGATTATTCCTAGCATGTTTGCTACCGTAACAGGCTTACTGCGGTAGTAAGTAAATTGTACCCCACCAGAACATCACACAAGCGATAAACACTAGGTGACTCAAAGTGCCACCATGTGGATGAGGATCCCCCGTGGAGAGGTCCCAGAAACAGCGTTCAACTGTTAGGTTCTAGCAAAAACCAGTGTGGTGCTTCAATATAAAAAATAAAAGATTGCGTACCACAAAGGAGATGACGAATAAGTTTAAGGCTTATTGCAATGCAAAATATACTCAGAAGGGAAGTCGTTTGGAGTTAATATTTCTTGCAGAATAGTAAATAATGTTTAATGTTCCCAGCTATAACCCTGAGGGTGGAATATTCTGTTGCTGTTTTTTTTTTTTTTTTTTTGGGGGGGGGGGGGGGGCAGGAAAATTACTACTACGGCATAGACAAAGAGATAAGACCACGTTGTCTATGGACTGGCCGTTTGCCCAGCTTCTGTATTTTTTTTTAATCGAATGAATTACAAATTTTTGTTAACTTCAAGGGAACTAGTTCATGTCATAATTCAAAATGAATCCGCGTAAATATCAGTGGTTTCCCCTGTCTATTCAAGGGTCCTCCTATTGTGGGGGAAAACAAGGATAGACCCACTGCCTTCCCAACACTCATGTACTAGGAGTCGACTGATTAGGGGCATCTTCGAAGTCGGAGTGAAAGGCAAGGAACCAATAGTCTGTATACAATTAAGCCAAATTTGTAAAACAGATGCGCACGCAGCAATCAGGTTGTGAAACAAGACTAAAGTGTCGAGGTGTACAAACAACCTAGAACTTTCCGCGGGAGTTTACAGCTGGTGAGTGCGAAGAAGTAGATACCAGTGACCCTGGAACCTGAAATATAAAAGGCCGGGCGGGGGGGGGGGGCGGACACTCTAGACCCAAAGCCCATATAGAAAATGTCTACAGGGGTTAAGCCCACTCGCAACCATGTATATGCATTCTTTTCTCAAATATTTATTTATACATTTCCTATTATTTTTAATCGGGGTCGCCAGCCTGAGGATCACAAGGTCGTGGGTTGGCGACTTGACGGAGCCGAACATTTTTTCAAAAATGATCTTGACTCCCAGGTCGACCCAGCCTTGAGTGGGTACCGGGTGCTGTCCTGGGAAGTAAAGGCAGCTGCCGTGATGCTGACCACAGGACCCACCAAGTGCCGAGTGGTCTATAAAAACATAGGTCAAGCTCTGTACTCCCAATACGCCTAAAGGCGTGAAAACGGGCCCTTTACTTCCTTATAGTTTACTTCAATAAGGCCATTAACCCATAAAAAGATTTGCAGATTTTTAAGATCCCAATACTCCAGCACTTAATTGTTCCCATCTTTCTGAATTATTGTGACAAACATTTCAATAAAAAAAAATATATATATATATATATATATATATATATATATATATATATATATATATATATATATATATATATATATATAAATTAAAAAAAAAAACACTGCATCCACTACCTTGTTTCTTTCTAATTTAATGATTCATTGTCTTGTATTTGCATCCACACAGAAGAACACACTTCACTTTTGTGTTATTTAAATGTCATGTATTCTTTACGTCCTTTTTAGGATGTAATTTTTTGTTATTAGAAGCCCCACTCTGGCTTTTGCCAGGGTCCGCAATATAGGCAGGCCATAAATATGGCCAATTGTCTGAACGCGGTTTCTGGGACCTCTCCACGGTGATCCTCATCCACATGGTGGCATTCTGTGTCATCGGGTGTTTATAGCTTGTGTGATGTCCTGGTGGGGTAAAAAGTCAGTCAGTCAGTCTGTGTTATTTAATGAAAGCATATGTGTGTTTTAAAAAAAAATACTTTTCATGTTAACTGAAAATAACAATAAAATAAACTTTATTCAGTTTTTAAAAAAACCACACAAACACACACACAATCAGACTTCTTGAGGAATCGCTGTGACGTAGCGGCTAGACGCTCGCCTAACGGTTCAAAGGTCGAGGGTTTAAATCTGCATCGACTCAGATTTGGTTTCTTTACAACAATACCTTAGCTCCCAGTCGACCCAGACTAAGCCGGGTATCAGGAAAAGTCCTGGATAGTAAGGGGCGGCTGACAGGATGTTGACCATATCTAAGGGGCGGCTGACAGGAAGTTGACCATATCTAAGGGGCGGCTGACAGGATGTTGACCATATCTAAGGGGCGGCTGACAGGATGTTGACCATATCTAAGGGGCGGCTGACAGGATGTTGACCATATCTAAGGGGCGGCTAACAGGATGTTGACCATATCTAAGGGGCGGCTGCCAGGATGTTGACCATATCTAAGGGGCGGCTGACAGGATGTTGACCATATCACCCGACGACTGTTGACTGTTCTATACAATATAGGCCTAGCGCTTTTATCCAACGTCTAGGATGTGCAAATTGTCTTTGATTTTGACCCCCCCCCCCCCCCCCCCCCCCGAAAATGTGTAAGGGGTTGAGGACTCCTCCTCCCCTTTTTGTCTCAAGAATTGTGTCCCTCAGTACTACGTTCAAAACAGGGCTAGCGATATATATAGTACGTACGACACAATGCTGACAATATGTATATAAATGTATATGTGTATGTATATATTTATATATGATATAATCTCATCTCATCTTGTTGATTCTCTAATATCTTGCAGTGACGAGGTGAAGTATAATTTCCGTGACAGTGCCCGTTTGTTGGCTTCGTACATGGAGATTCCCAGGGCCTCTGTGACTCCACCTGTCCATAGTTTGCATTGTCGGCCTCTTCTTCGCTTCCCGCCTAGTCTGTGTGTCATTGCTTTCTGTGGTATACTGTTTCCTGATATCCGCGTTACATGGCCAAACCATTTTATCTGTTGTCTTGTAATGAAATCCAGGGCTGCCGCTCTGCCCATTTTCCATTGGTTTACATCATTCCTGATCTTATCTATTATTGTTATATAAAGGCCCTTCGGAGGAATCTCATTTCAGTTGTAATTTTTCTGTTCTCTTTTTCTGTCATTGTCCAGTTCTGGCATTGATATACAGGAAATATATGGGGATACAAAACTGAAATGGGAAACAAATTGTCTGAGAAAAAGGGAACGTCCAAGGGAGACAATAAGAATAACATAATTAGAAGAGGCAAAAAATGCTGGGCTGAACTCCATCTCAGAAACTGAGGAAGTTGCATGCAATATAGCCGATACATATTTCATCACACACGGGAGTACGTGGTCTCGAGGTGCGGCATCCGCCTTGAGTGTTTGAGGTCCTGGGCCCAACCCAGGTAAAGACTGATTTTTTCACGTGAATTTCTAGTAATTTCCCCTGGTCTCTGGGTAGTAAGATCGAATGCCCGTGTGTAAAGGTTGCGCACGTAAAAGAATCCCTTGGTAGTTGGCAGTGCACTACGCTGAGATTCTTCAGACTCAGGCTTGAGTTAGAAGTAAAACGGAACACTTCTGGGTTTACATCCGGCTGCCATGATGTTGACCCGTTGACTAAACTAAAATCAACAATACCATCACAAAAATATAAATTGTAGAGTTTACAAATTCACATCATCAGGTCCTAGGATTACAACAACAACAACAACAACAAACTAAATAGAACATAACTTTTTTCCAGTGGCATCAGAGGAAAGACCAAACATAAAATTAAGGTACATCTAAACTCCAGAGTAGACAGAGTAGACAAGAAGATACTAAATGTGGTTCTAAAGTACCTGTACATAATAGTGTAGTAGATGGGAGTCTAAAAGTGGTATCAGCCGCTCACGCTGTGGGATTTACTGAAGAGGGGATCCGAGCACTTATGGATTGACTGGTTCGACGTGCAATGAGGATGATCAATCAGTCAGAATTTTCTGTACAAAACGTCACTCTCTTCTCGGCATGCTTGAACATTTCTCTTTCTCTACCAAATTCTCCAACCCTATGTGCTTTCACAGTCCATGCATCTTCAGCGTCTTGTATCCACTTTTGCGGAGGTAGGTCTCGTCCTCGTTTCCAGGAAACTGAGCCCTCCATCGTTGCTCTCTTCAGACCACCAGGGTGTTTGGTCATGGCTCACACCCAACTAACCAAAAATCTGACTGCATCTTGGTAATATTAAAGATGAAGGGCTGTGAAACAATCCTCGTACTTTCATGTAAGCAACAACAACAACAACAACAACAACAACAACAACAACAATGTATGAATGCACGGATGGATGCATGAATGAATGAATGAATCAATCAATCAATCAATCAATCAATCAATCAATCAATCAAACTATCAATAAACTAATGAATGAAATAAGAACTGACATCCCTGGACTCCGGACATTCCTACACGTGCTACGTCTCCTTCTTCGGTAGCCAACGAAGAGTCGACATGCTACAAGTTGCCACCTGATTAAGAGCCCCCTTTGTTTCCCCGCCGTGTTGAATATCTTTCAGACCCCCCTTCTTACCCCTCACTGAACTAATCTGTCATCGTATGGATCCTGAAGATGTTTAACAGAACAGACAGAGATAATATCAGTATGTTTTCCCAATGAAATTAGAACAAGAAAGCAGATTTCTCTTCGATTTGTACCTTCGGGGCTTCTGAAAATATGCCAGTAAGTTTATTTTCTGCTATTTACGCAGTTATCATGCATTATTAGTGTGGTTGTCTACTCACTGTCATTTCAAAAAGGTTGCGACCCATAGGTTGAGAACCGCTGTTATAACATAACACGTTATGACACTGTCGTCTGGAAGACGTAAGGGTGCCAACAAAACATCAACATTTTTTATATCCAAATTTGCAAATATTGAAGTCAGTTGCTATCCAAAAAGACCTACTAACTCGTTTCCTTCATCATCACCGGCATCTTCTAGTTGTTGAGCTTTTGACTTTACCTTCTCATCACCATTGGTGTTTCCTTGTTTACCCTTGCTCTTTGGATTTGCTTTCGCACATTTCCTCTGTCTGGGTTCATCCCCTTGAATATATCCATCTGCAGTTAGCCATGTCTTCACACATTTTGTCCAGGCATTCTTCTTTCGTTCCGTCACTTCAGACTCTCCTCCTTCCTTTATAATATCTACAGAAGTTAATATAATAATAATAATATTAATAATAATAATAATAATAATAATAATAATAATCAGAGATTAGTATCTACTTCTTCTTCGCGTTTACTGACTGTAAACTCCAGCGGAAAGTGGCTTTTGCCAGGGGCCGCAATATAGGCAGGCCATAAATATGGCCAAATGTCTGAACGCGGTTTCTGGGACCTCTCCACGGCGATCCTCATCCGCATGGTGGCACTTTGTGTCATCGGGTGTTTATCGCTTGTGTGATGTCCTGGTGGGGTAGAAAGTCAGTCAGTCAGCGGAAAGTTCTGGTTATACGTCCAGTTCTATACTTCACTTCTGTTTTAGAACCTGAGTTTTGCGTGCACATCCGCTTTGCAGATCTAAATATTTTGTGTGCAGACCGTCGGTTCCCTGCCTCTCAGGCAGACGTACTCCGACTTCGAAGGAAACTCACAATTTGTCAAATGTTACAACATGTTTTATAGTCAGTCAGTGAACCTATTCTTGTTTGCCCTACAATGGGGCTCTGGAGCCCACACATGGAGAGATTATTTTGATGATTGTACAGACTTTGACTATTCCACCACCACCACCACTGCTATTACTACAACACTGCTGCTGGTAACACTACTATCAATATCACCATCACCACAACCGCTGCTTGTTTTATTACTACTACCCTCACCACAACCGCTGCTTGTTTTATTACTACTACCCTCACCACAACCGCTGCTTGTTTTATTACTACTACCCTCACCACAACCGCTGCTTGTTTTATTACTACTACAGCTGATGCTGCTGCTACTACTACTTTATTACTACCTTTTCTAATGTTATTTCTAAAAATTATGCTTTCATCACTAGTACTACTACTACTACTACTACTACTACTACTACTACTACTACTACTACTACTACTACTACTACTACTACTACTACTACTACTACTACTACTAATGCTGCTGCTGCTGCTGCTACTACTACTACTAATTTAACCACCACCATCACTACTACTACTTAGACAATTATTACTTCTACTGCTGCTACTGCTTTACAACTGCTAATGTTACCTTTACTTCTAAAACTACTACTTCTTCACAACAACTACTACTACTAGTAAAAACTCAGTAGTCTAATTGCCCGAATACTAACTAGTACATTTTAAAGAACAACTGAACATAATTCCAACTGTTTTCTCACCTGCAATAAACATGTCGGCCACCATGATAGCGTCCTCCCTCTCCGGCAGGTCCAGCTTGCTCAGCACACTGTTGTACCTGGCCTTGGTGCAGTAGCTGACCGTCCGGTTCTTGCCTATCCCGACAGCTCGGACATCGTTGAAAGCGCTGGACAAGAGTTTTATGGCGTGGAAATGGAAGTCTGGTCTTTTCAGAGGCGTCATAACAACTCCTGGAGGAACACAAAAAAAAAAAAAAAAGGAAAAAACCAAAACACTTCAGTGTCATGCATTTGCACCAGTGCATTTTATGTTGAAAATGCAAGTTTATTTTTGTTACATTGATCATGAGGGAAGCAGTAAACTTGTTAATATTTTTTTTTTTAAGTATCCAAAACCATGAGTTGTTCTTTGGCTCGGTAATATGGATATCGCAACCCTTCGGCCTTGATTCCATGATAGATATCTTAAATCTAGTAGAAATATGACTTATCTGTCTACCCTCGGGCGTGAACCTGGACCATAAGGAGTTCCTCATCCAGTCGCCGCGCAGTCCGGTTTAACCAACTACGCTGGCGAGGCGGGCAACTTGGTAATAAAAAAAGTATACATCTTTTGCAAGATCTAGGGAGGAACTGTAAACTTTTTAATTCAAAAGTTTATATCTCCTGCATGATCATTCGAGAAACAGTAAAAATTTGTATTTACAAATGTTTGTTTGTTACATGATTTTGAAAGAAAAAGCAAAATTAAATCATAAAATTGTATTTTTATTACACGATCGTGAGAAAAACAGTTAAAATAAGATATGTTGTATAAAAGTATGCATTTGTTAAATGATTATAACATTAACGGAATAATTTTAAATATGAAAGTGTATATTTGTTATACGATTTTGAGAGAAAAAGTAAAATTTTTACTTAAAAAACAACACACACACACACACCATTATTTGATTTTTTGTTTTGTTTTGAAAATGGGATGAGAGAGGGTATTTAAATCTCTCTCTCTCTCTCTCTCTCTCTCTCTCTCTCTCTCTCTCTCTCTCTCTCTTTCTCTCATGTGGGTTCTCGGACACCAATGTGTGTGTGTGTGGGGGGAGGGAACCCACTGCCCCCTAACGAGCATGCCGTAAAAGGCTACTTATTAGGGGTGTTTTATTTGAAGTCGAAGTGCATCTGCTTGAGAAGCGAGGAACCAACAATCTGCATACAAATAAACCAGATTTGTAAACTGGATGTGCACTCAAAACTCAAGTTCTGGGACAAGACTTAAGTCCATAAGGGGACGAAAAACCACAACTTTCCACTGGAGTTTACAGCTGGCCGAAAGCTGGGAAGAAACCTTCTCAACTCTAAATGTAAAGGGTCATATAAATAGTTATGTCAAATGTCTATCAATTTTCAACAACATATAGAATATACTCTAAGATAGGCTATAAATTACCTTCAATAATTATGTCGTTGTTGTCAGTTTTATCTGTTAGTCTGGATTTGCTCTTCATGATTCCGTCGGTTATCAAAAACTGTGTCAACTCTTCTAATGTGGATTTGGGTGGACAGAGAGGTAAAGCGTAATAGGGAAAACCCGCAGTCTGACACAAGTCATTCATTTCTGTAACAGTTACCCATTTCCTGTTGATGTTTACACCAAAAACGTAGAACCTAAACTCGTCTGAGTAAATTATTTCTTTTTGAACAGCAGATTTAATATCGATATTTATTCCTCCACCGCCATATATTTCTCCATAGATTCTTAATTCCAAAACGTTCTTTTCCCCATTTTCAATTTCAGTCTGGTGGAGTTTTACGTTTGTCTCATCTTCATTTATGTCATTAGGAGCTGTCTCCTGGCTTTCTAGGTGGCGCTTATTTTCTGTTGAATCCTCGCCATTACCGTCTTCAACTTTGTCGTCACTATCATCATCAACCATGTCAAGGGTAGTTCTATAGTGCCGCCACCTATCTTCTGTTTCTACTGTCTGGTACATCAGTTTCACAAATTCAAGATGGCGCTGCTGAAACTCTTTCATATTACACTTCAGAAATGACCCCTTGCAATCAAGAAGAGTTCTTCGACTAGCAAGGCTGACATTTTCTCCATTATTTGTGAAAAACTGGAAACTTGATCCATGAATCTGGAATTTGACAATAATATATTATGTGTATTAAAAAGTTTAAATTTTCATTTATAAAGATGTTTAGTGTGTTCCCCCATAAAGGTAATAAACTACAGTAGAACATATATGAAAAATATCTTATGCAATAAATCGCTCTCATTTAATGTCAGAAAGAGTAAAGGAAAACTTAAGATTAAGGGGCTTAGAGTGTACAAGTGTAGCCAAAGTTGAGCTTAAGGGGCTTACAGTGTACAAGTGTAGCCAAAGTTGAGCTTAAGGGGCTTACAGTGTACAAGTGTAGCCAAAGTTGAGCTTAAGGGGCTTACAGTGTACAAGTGTAGCCAAAGTTGAGCTTAAGGGGCTTACAGTGTACAAGTGTAGCCAAAGTTGAGCTTAAGGGGCTTACAGTGTACAAGTGTAGCCAAAGTTGAGCTTAAGGGCTTACAGTGTACAAGTGTAGCCAAAGTTGAGCTTAAGGGGCTTACAGTGTACAAGTGTAGCCAAACTTAAGCTTGAGTAGCTTACAGTGTACAAGTGTAGCCAAACTTAAGCTTAAGGAGCTTACAGTGTACAAGTGTAGCCAAAGTTGAGCTTGAGGAGCTTACAGTGTACAAGTGTAGCCAAACTTAAGCTTAAGGGGCTTACAGTGTACAAGTGTAGCCAAACTTAAGCTGGAGTAGCTTACAGTGTACAAGTATTGCCAACCTTAAGCTTAAGCAGCTTACAATGTACAAGTGTAGCCAAACTTGAGCTTGAGGAGCTTACAGTGTACAAGTGTAGCCAAACTTTAGGGGCTTACAGTGTACAAGTGTAGCCAAACTTAAGGAGCTTACAGTTTACACGTGTAGCCAAACTTAATGAGCTTACAGTGTACAAGTGTAGCCAAACTTAAGGGGCTTACAGTGTACAAGTGTAGCCAAACTTAAGGAGCTTACAATGTACAAGTGTAGCCAAACTTAAGGGGCTTACAGTGTACAAGTGTAGCCAAACTTAAGGAGCTTACAGTGTACAAGTGTAGCCAAACTTAAGGGGCTTACAGTGTACAAGTGTAGCCAAACTTAAGGGGCTTACACTGTACAAGTGTAGCCAAACTTGAGCTTGAGGAGCTTACAGTGTACAAGTGTAGCCAAACTTAAGCTTAAGGGGCTTACAGTGTACAAGTGTAGCCAAACTTAAGCTTATGGGGCTTACAGTGTACAAGTGTAGCCAAAGTTGAGCTTGAGGGGCTTACAGTGTACAAGTGTAGCCAAACTTAAGCTTAAGGGGCTTACAGTGTACAAGTGTAGACAAAGTTGAGCTTGAGGGACTTACAGTGTACAAGTACAGCCAAACCAAAGCATAAAGAGCTTACATTGTACAAGTATAGCCAAAATTGAGCTTACAGAGCTTACAATGTACAAGTGTAGCAAAAGAATAAAAGAAAAAGTAGTAGTAGTAGTAGTAGTAGTAGTAGTAGTAGTAGTAGTAGTAGTAGTAGTAGTAGTAGTTGTACTAGTAGTAGTAGTATAGTAGTTGTAGTAGTAGTAGTAGTAGTAGTAGTAGTAGTAGTAGTAGTAGTAGTATAGTAGTAGTAGTAGTAGTAGTGGTGGTGGTGGTGGTGGTAGTAGTAGTAGTAGTAGTAGTAGTAGTAGTTGTAGTAGTAGTAGTTGTTGTTGTTGTAGTAGTTGTAGTAGTAGTAGTGGTGGTAGTGGTGGTGGCCTTTGTGGTTGGCTCTAAGCTAACCACAAAGACAACAGTTGTTGTAGTAGTTGTTGTTGTTGTAGTAGTTGTTGTTGTTGTTGTTGTAGTAGTTGTAGTAGTAGTAGTAGTAGTTGTTGTTGTTGCAGTAGTTGTAGTTGTAGTAGTAGTAGTAGTTGCAGTAGTAGTAGTAGTAGTAGTAGTAGTAGTAGGTGTAGTAGTAGTAGTAGTAGTAATAGTTGTAGTGGTAGTGGTGGTTGTAGTGGTGGTAGTAGTAGTAGTGGTGGTGGTAGTTGTGGTAGTAGTAGTAGTGGTGGTGATAGTGGTGGTAGTAGTAGTGGTGGTGGTGGTGGTAGTGGTCGTAGTAGTAGTAGTAGTAGTAGTAGTAGTAGTAGTAGTAGTAGTAGTAGTAGTAGTAGTAGTAGTAGTAGTAGTAGTAGTAGTAGTAGTAGTAGTAGTAGTAGTAATAGGTATTCATTTTTACAAAAATATTTTGTTCAACCCTGAGGGTTATTAATGGGATTTACAGAGTTCATTTAAGACAATTTAGTAATTTGTAATATTGCTTTAAATATTGCTTTTTCTGTCTGCAATTTTATTAAAATATATCCCTACACATGAAGAGCTGACTGTTGTAGATGAGGACTGAACGCTTATGGGAATGCCCTGTTGCTGTGATGTCCTTTCGTGACTTACCTCAGCTCACAATTATTTTGAATAGACAAGCTCATTTTATTTAACAATCAACACGTGCTCATCAACTGCTCGCTCAGTCACCATAACAACAGACAACACCGGAAATGACCTTTTCTGTGGCGACCCAGTCAGAACAACCAATCTCCCGGTGTGTAGCTTTCTTGTTTATAGTTGTCATGGGAACGAACTGCATCTTTGCGTTCCATGTTGTCATTTTGTCTTATATATGGTTGCAGCTATATTGAATACACCACAATAACAAGAATTACTTCCTATTAGAAGATGTTCTTTTTTGGGCAACAAATTATATATATATATATATTATAATCAAAAAGGCTGAATAGGAAATTATTTATCTAGAAACTTTTTCTATTAACACCGCCACCACCACTACAACTATAATTACCACTACGACTAGAAAGGAAAGGAGCAGGTACTCACCATAAAGAGTCTATAAACATGTGTCTGTTATCAGTACAAATGGTGGCGCTTTCTTTTAAGCCAACCACAAAGACGTCACGGGAGTCGCCGTGGCGGAGCGGTTAGACGCTCGCCGCGGATGGGAAGGTCATGGGTTCGCTCCCTGGCGGAGCCGGACTTTTTCAAAAAAGACCTTGGATACCAGTTCGACCCACCCGTGAGTGGGTACAGGGTGCAGTTCCTGGGAAGTAAAGGCGGCCGCTGTGATGCTAACCACATCACCTATCTTGTGCCGATTGGTCTATAAAATAGGCCCTATACGCCTAAAGGTGGTAAGAGTGGGTTTTCCATGGTTTCTAAGCTTTAGCGCGTTCCTTCCAAGGCCAAAGGTTTCGCGCGTTTACCCCCTTACCCTTAACCTAACCAAAATTATACGTTTAATCTACCATTCCCGGAAATATTTGACTGTCCCTTGACCTGTGGATTTTTCCTGTTTGTAGTTGACTAACAAGAAAGGGGCTGAAGAGCTGTCTAGGGAATATAATACTTACAGGTGTGCCGTGAAGAGAGAGAAACGTTCTGTAAATGACTTGCTGATTGTTAATAAATACGAAATTTATTACTTGGACTAGTAATCAGTCAATATAAGAAAGAATGCATGATAATAACAAGAGAGGGAAAGGATACAAATTGCAGTCACATACAGATAGATAACAGGGAAAAGGAAATCCCCGGATATAAAAATCAAAAGAAATGAGATATTAACGCTTATAATATTTCTAATATGTACCTTTAGCTTCACTAAACACACTCAAACTTCCAGAACACGAAAATAATTTCAGTCTTGGCGAAGAAAATGGAGTTCACATAGACCAGTTGTATAATCATAGGTCCAAAACTAACACACGCCTGGGGAAGTGGTGAATTTAACGGTTTCGGCTCTGATGCGGTTAACCGAACTAGACTTTCTATTATTGGATCATTAGTCAACGGGGACGATGTGGGTCGGTTAAACAATACTTCAAAATGTTGTGGTAAATCTCACGTAATCAAATGTTGCGGAAATATCTGGCCCGCATAACTCAGAGGGTTTCCCCAGGCTCCATGTGTGTGTGTGTGTGTGTGTGTGTGTGTGTAAGAGAGAGAGAGAGAGAGAGAGAGAGAGAGAGAGAGAGAGAAAGGGGAGAGAGAGAGAGAGAGAGAGAGAGAGAGAGGAGAGAGAGTGAGAGTATGCCAATAGCCAGCAAGGTGAAAGAAAGGGTAGCTGAGCTAGGGTGAAGTCAGCAAAGCAATCAATAAATCAATCAGGTACCACACCCACATTAAAGGTTGGCTGTAATCATTGCCGAATTTAGACCTGCTGAGGCCCTGATGTATATAAAGTCCTGAGGCCCCGATCGTTTTTAAATTATACCAGCTGATCTAAGAAAACGTTAACTTTTAAAAATATTGATAATATATATTTTTATTTGATTTTGACACAACTATTACATTATAGAATTCTTCTTTTCTTCTTCTTCTTCCTTCTTCTTCTTTCTTCTTCTTTTTTTCTTCTTCTTCTTTTCTTCTTCTTTTTCTTCTTCTTTTTCTTCTTCTTTTTCTTTCTTCTTTCTTCTTATCTTTCTTTTTTCTTTCTTCTTTCTTCTTCTTTTTCTTTTTCTTTTATCTTTTTTTTCTTCTTCTTTCTTTTCTTTTTCTTTTTCTTTTTCTTCTTTTTCTTTTTCTTTTTCTTTTTCTTTTTTCTTTTTTCTTTTTCCTTTTTCTTTTTCTTCTTCTTCTTCTTTTTCTTATTTTCTTTTTCTTCTCTATCTTCTTCTTCTTCTTCTTCTTCTTCTTCTTCTTCTTATCTTCTTCTTCTTCTTCTTCTTCTTCTTCTTCTTCTTCTTCTTCTTCTTATTCTTCTTCTTCTTCTTCTTCTTCTTCTTCTTATTCTTCTTCTTCTTCTTCTTCTTCTATCTTTTCTTCTTCTTTCTTCTTCTCCTTCTTTCTTCTCTTTTCTTCTTTTTCTTCTCTTCTTCTTCTTTTTCTTCTTTCTTCTTCTTTCTTCTCTTCTTCTCTTTTCTTTTTCTTTCTTCTTCTTCTTCTTTTTCTTTCTTCTTCTTCTTCTTCTTCTTCTTCTTCTTCTTTCTTCTTCTTCTTCTTCTTCTTCTTCTTCTTCTTCTTCTTCTTCTTCTTCTTCTTCTTCTTCTTCTTCTTTCTTCTAGTTCTTCTTCTTCTTCTTTCTTCTTCTTCTTCTTCTTCTTCTTCTTCTTCTTCTTCTTCTTCTTCTTCTTCTTCTTCTTTTTCTTCTTCATCTTCTTCTTCTTCTTCTTCTTCGTGAGCATTCGGAGCCCTTAACGTTCACTGCTGCAGATATCACCCGCCTCCATTCACCTCTCTGGTTGGCCTTGTGTTACTAGTTGGTTACAGCAAGTTTTTGTAATTCTACCTTGATATTATCTCTCCGTCGTCTTCTTGGTCTACCTCGTGGTATACGACCATTTAGCTCCCTTGTGTTTACAATTTTTACCTACCTGTCATCTGACATTCTCTCAGTATGCCCCAGCCATTTCAATTTGTTAGCTCTAATGACGTCAGTGATCAATGGTAATTTAAACAGGTTATGAATGCCGTTTCTCCTTCTAACTATCCATTCCACGCTGTTTGCGTCTTTGATGGGTCCAAAGATTCGTCACAAGACTCAGTTTGTGAAGATCTATAATAAAGCTTCGTCTCTTTTGTTGTGCTCCAGTTTCTGAGTCAGATAAAACAACTGGTCTTATCAACGTTTTGTGTATTTTGATCTTTGTCTAAAAGGCTCCGTTAAATTAAAAGTACATCTAAAATGTATTAAAATAAGATTACTTTGGTGGAAAACAAAATGAATTTGTAGATGCCCCTGTAGCTTATTTAAGCCACAGCTTATTTAGTTTATGCCTAAATTCAGTACAGTCTGTCGTGGATCCATAACAGTGTCTTTCACCCTGATTGTACTGCTCTCAGATGCTATTCGTCAATCATTTGATGGCACTTTCAACTTATATCGACGTCTAACTCCTTCCCACCTCTCCAGTATGCTTTATATACAAGTTTTGTCTTTCAATTTGCCCCCCCCCCCCCCTCACCCCCCCCCCGGCTCCCCAAAGAACTTCTGTACTCGTATTTGGTTGTTTTGGTTTCAGTTAAACGCAACATAAGCGTTCTGTTTACCAGCTCATCTCAAATGCCTTGATTCCAGTTTCTAACCGAAGTTAATGTAAAATTTCTAAACGTTTTTTGTGTGTGTGGTTGTTCTAAGAATCGACATCAAAGCAGTCAGTTACTGTTATCATTCTTAAGTCCCATTTGGTAGGGGGGGGGGGGAGGGTGGCTCTATAAGCATGCCGTAAAAGGCAACTTATTAGGATTTTTCCGAAATCGAATGCGTTGAGCCGTAAGGCGTAGCCTTTGCAGCCTCATCATCATCATCAAGTGACTTGCCGACTGGCGTAGGCGATCATGTCATTTCACAGTGTGCGATCTGCAAATACGTGTTTCAGTTCGTGTGTTGACTGACACCCCTCCATGCCATGGCAAAAGACTTTTAAGAATCTGTTCACGCTGTCTTCCCCTGTCTCTTGCTCCACAGATCTTTCCAGTGGTCACAACATGTTCCATTTTCCCTCTCCTCATAACCAAAAAAAAAAAAAAAAAAAATTATGACTGTCTATTTCTGATGTTTGTGATAAGTTGTCTTCAAGCATTGGCCTCTTTCAAAACATCTGGGCTGCTCTTCTTTGCTGTCCAAGGAATTATAAGGGTTCTCGTGTTGCAAGATGGGACCACAGTAGAAACGTCATGTGCCTCCGGAACACTCTCAAAAAACGTTAGAGCAGGACAGCAATCAATTATTGATTCTGTCAAAGTGCTTGAAGAGAGAAAAATTAAAAACATCAAATTTTTTTCCTTTGTGACTGCATATCAGTCCTCCAGGCGACTCAGAGGGATGCACGAGACAACACGGAGAGAGCACTGACCCGCCAGATAAACAGAAAGCAATCAGATCATTCTCCAATGGATCCCGGCTAACTGCGGTATACCAGGAAATGAGTTAGCAGACAGATTTGCTAAAAATGGAACAAAGGAGAAACAACACACCCATCCATTGTCATTACCAGAAATCAGAACACTTATCAAGGGAAAATATACGGAATTGTGGAAAGAACAAACAAACAGCAAACATCCACAAGACCCTATCAGCAGACTCAACAGAAAGCAACATACAACAGTTTTCCGCCTACGAAAAGGACACTACAGGCTCAACTACCACATGCATAAAATAAAGATTGTACAGTCCTCAAAGTGTGGGACCACAAACACCCGAGCACATTCTGGAGACCTGCCCACTTTACCTACAACTGCGAAAAGACACCTGGCCTAAAGAGCAAAGTGTGCATAGCAAGCTATGGGCAATCAAGAAGATCCTGCTACTGACATGCGAGTTCATAGGCAACCCACCTGATGGTCTATCTGAGCATACGAAACCCAATGCAAAGAAGAAAGAAGAATAAGGGTTCTTCTTTAAAACCACATCTCCGCTGCCTCAAAGTATTGTTCGGCTCGTTTATTAATCGTCCAGATGTCAAAACGGGTTCTATATAGCAAGCAAGAATTCTTTTCCTAACCTCCAATGGGGTGGATTTATTTCATAAAATGCAGTATTTTGTAAAATGCAGTTTTGGCCTGTACTATTCTATTCTTTACAAATGGAAATGAAGAACATTTTATTGCATCCTAGCTGTAAAAAAAAAAAAAAAAAACAACAACAACAAGGTG